ATTGATCCTGTGTCTAGATGATCTATCCATTGCTTTAAGTGGAGTACTAAAGTCCCCTGCAATTACCACATTCTTATCAATAAGGTTGCTTATATTTGTGATTAATTGTTTTATGTATTTGGGGGCTCCTGTATGCAGTGCATAGACATTTATAATTGTTAGCTCTTCCTGATGGATAGACACTGTAATTATTATATAATGCCCTTCTTCATCTCTTGTTACAACCTTTAATTTAAAGTCTAGTTTGTCTGATAGAAGTATGGCTACTCCAGCTTTCTTCTGACTTCCAGTAGCATGATAGATAGTTCTCCATTCCCTCACATTCAATCTGAATGTTTCCTCAGGCCTAAAATGAGTCTCTTGTAGACAGCAAATAGATGGGTCTTGTTTTTGTATCCATTCTGATACCCTGTGTCTTTTGGTTGGAGCATCTAGTCCATTTACATTCAGTGGTATTATTGAAAGATATGGGTTTAGAGTCATTGTGATGTCTGTAGGTTTCATGCTTGTAGTGATGTTCTGGTACTTTGTGGTCCTTGCAACATTTTCCTGACAGAATCCCCCTTAGCAGCTCTTGTAGGGCTGGTTTAGTGATGATGAATTCCTTCAGTTTTTGTTTGTTTGGGAAGACCTTTATCTCTCCTATTCTGAATGACAGACTTGCTGGATAAAGGATTCTCGGCTGCATATTTTTTCTGTTCATCACATTGAAGATTTCCTGCCATTCCTTTCTGGCCTGTCAACTTTCAGTAGTTAGGTCTGCCACTACTCTTATGGGTCTCCCTTTGTAAGTTAGAGCGTGTTTATCTGTAGCTGCTTTCAGAATTTTCTCTTTATCCTTGTATTTTGCCAGTTCCACTATGATATGTCATGCAGAAGATGACTCACATTACGTCTGAAGGGAGTTCTCTGTGCCTCTTGGATTTCAATGCCTTTTTCCTTCCCCAGATCAGGGAAGTTCTCAGCTATGATTTTTTCAAGTACACCTTCAGCCCCTTTCTCTGTCTCTTCCTCTTATGGAATTCCTGTGATACGGATATTGTTCCATTTGATTGCATCACTTACTTCTCTAATTCTCCCCTCATACTCCTGGATTTTTTTATCTCTCTTTTTCTCAGCTTCCTCTTTTTCCATAATTTTATCTTCTAATTCACCTATTCTCTTCTCTGCCTCTTCAATCCATGCTATGGCTGCCTCTATTTTATTTTGCACCTCATTTATACCATTTTTTAGTTCCTCATGACTATTTCTTAGTCCCTTTATCTCTGTAGCAATAGATTCTTAGATGTCCTCTATACTTTTTTCAAGCCCAGCAATTAATTTTATGAATATTATTCTAAATTCTTGTTCTGTTATATTGCTTAAATCGTTTTTGATCAATTTGTTAGTTGTCGCTACTTCCTGGAGTTTCTTTTGAGGAGAGTTCTTCCGTTTTGTCATTTTGGATAGTCCCTGGGGTGGCGAGGAACTGCAGGGCACTTCCCCTGTGCTGTCTGGAGTAACTTGTGTTGGTGGGTGGGGCTGCAATCAGACCCGATGTCTGTCCCCAGCCCACCACTGGGGCCACAGTCAGACTGTTGTGTACCTTATCTTCCCCTTTCCCAGAGGCAGGACTCACTGTGGAGTGGTGTGGCCCCTTGTCTGGGCTACTTGCACACTGCCAGGCTTGTGGTGCTGCTTCAGTGGGATCTGGTATATTAGCTGGGGTGGATCCACAAGGTGCACAGGGGCGGGCGGGGCAGGCTTAGCTTGCTTTGCTGTCAGTGGTCCCCTGTGGGAGGAGCCCTGCAGCACCCGGAGGGAGGCAGACCCGTTGGAGGGATGGATCCACAGAAGCACAGCATTGGGTGTTTGCGCGGTGCAAGCAAGCTCTGTGAGGGGAGCTGGGGGATGGGAGAGGGATACGGCACTTGCCAGCGCCTTCATTCCCTGCCAAGCTGAGCTCTGTTTTCTGGGGTTCACAACTCTCCCTCAAGGTGTCCTCTTGCCCTCCTGGCTCTCTGAGAGCAGAGCTGTTGCTTATAACATTCCAGATGTTAAGTCCCACTGGCTGTCAGAAAACACTCCGTCTGGCCTCTCCGCGTTTGCAAGCCAGACTCGGGGGCTCTGCCTTGCCAGGCTGGTTGCCCCTCCACAGCCCCGGTTCCCTTCCTCCAGTCCATGTAGTGCGCACCACCTCTTCGCCCCTCCTACCCTCTTTCTTGGGCCTCTTGTCCATGCTTGGCTCCGGAGAGTCCATTCTGCTAGTCTTCTGGTGGTTTTCTGGGTTATTTAGGCAGATGTGGGTGGAATCTAAGCAATCAGCAGGATGAGGTGAGCCCAACATCCTCCTACACTGCCATCTTCCAACTAATATCAGATATATATTTAAGGTACTGATATCATGTCCTGAAGAGGGAATGCTAGATTAAACATTCTATTTTTAGTTTTTTAAGGATCTTTCATACTGTTTTCCACAGTGACTGTGCCAATTTACATTCACACCAGCAATGCACAAGGGTTCTCTTTTCTCCACATCCTCACTAACACTTGTCACCTTTCATTTTTCTACTCATCCTAAAAGGTGTGAGGTGATATCTCACTGTGGTTTCAATTTGCATTTTCTGATGATTTGTGATGTTGAGTGCTTTCTCATATACCTGGTTAGCCATTGGCATGTCTTCTCTAAAAAGTGTCTATTCAGGTCCTTTGCCCATTTTTAAATTAGATTGTTTGGGTTCTTTTTTTATATTATATGAATTTTTATATATTTTTTATATTAACCCCTTATCAGATATATAATTTGCAAATATTTCCCCTCAGTTTATAGGTTGCCTTTTCATTTTGTTGATGATTTCCCTTACCATGCAGAAACTTTCAGACTGATGTAGTCCCACTTTATTTTTGCTTTTGTTGCCTGAGCTTTTGTCTTATCCAAAAAATCATTGCCAAGGCCAATGTCAAGGAGACTTTAAAGACAAATATTGTTAAAATGTCTATACTACCCAAAGCGATCTACACATTCAATGCAATCCCTATCAAAATAGCACCAGCATTCTAAATGCCAACACTTCTAAAATTTGTATGGAACCAGAAAAGACCCTGACTAGTCAATATAAGGTTGAAAAAGAAAACCAAAGCTAGAGGCATCACAGTTCTGGACGTTAAGCTGTTTTACAAAGCTGTAATCACCAAGACAATATGGTACTGGCACAAAAGCAGGTACATAGATCAATGGAACAGAACAGAGAACCCAGAAATGGACCAACAAACGAATGGCCAACTAATCTTTGTCAAGGCAGGGAAGAATATCCAATGGAAAAAAGACAGTCTCTTCAGCAAATAGTCTCTTCAGCAAACTGGACAACAGCAACATGCAGAAGAATAAAACTGGACCACTTTCTTTCACCACACACAAAAATAAATTCAAAATGGAAGAAAGACCTAAACATAAGACAGGAGACCATCAAAATCCTAGAGTAGAAAACAGGCAGCAACCTCCTGGCCTCTTTGTGACCTTTCCTATAGCAACTTCTTACTAGACATGTCTCTGGAGACAAGGGGGATATAAGCAAAAATGAACTGAGAACTCAAGATAAAAAGCTTTTGTATAG